TATGTTTTGCGTCCCAACATCGAAAAGACATTCTGACTGTTTGTGGGATGTTTTGCACGGAAAACATTGCAGAAAGAATTTTGTATCGTAATATGATGTCCCGTTGTGGACCATGGCCATGACATCAGAATACCATTTATCATTGTTCACGATGTTTTCCTGGTGTTTTGACACCGGCCACCGGGAATACATCGAAAATGTCTTTCAAAAGCTTACCGCAAAACCACTGGGAACACTTTCAAATTGGTTTTACAATGGTCTTCCTGTGTTCGTGACTGAAAACATTGTAATGACATCATTTATGTCTTTCCCGTGTTTTTCAAAGAGAATTTTTGAAGGCACAGTGTTATCATTTTGCATGTCTATCTAATGTTTGCCTCAAGTTACGAGGCCGAATATACTGAAAAGATTATTTCAGGTCTTTCAATGTTTTCATCATGTTTTCGACCAAAACATGCATAGAAAACATCATGTATGTTCCTCACATGTGACGGGAGCCAATCCTGCACAAATCTGCATACAAATCACGGACGATTCAAAGCACAAATCGTAGCTGAATCTAAATTTGATTGGTCCTGTCACAGCTCACGCCGAACGGGACGGCTCAAGCCTTCTGAGCACGCTGTACCGCCGTCAAGGCTGCGACAAGGGAGTTAGCAGAAGCTGGACCATAGGTGTATTGATCCGGAGACAGCACGCGTGCGCGGTCGCATACCGGGCCTGCGATGTAACGGGCAGGCGCCCCGCGCGGCGCGCCGGACAAGAACTGCGAGAACGATGAGATTCGAGGGTGTTAGGTGAGGTACATGGCAAGCGAGGGGAAGGCGCAGTGCGAGCGGGCGTGCGTGGTGACCGAGGAGAGGCGGGGTTGCTGGCCGAGTTGCTGATGGGCCCGGAGGAAACAGAGAAATCGAGGAAAAAATGGTAGAAGCGCACCGTGAAGGGCGCGGGATGCAGACGTCGACCAGTGAGCCTTCAGACGTCACGTAGACGATGAGATGAGCGGCGAGGCGGCCGACCAGCCCGACAAACGAAGCGAGGGCGAAGGACAGGGGGGATAGGGGGAGAATGAGTGCCCGGCGCCGTGAGAAGCAGCAACAGCGCGGTTGGGCGAAGATCCGACGGGGAAGGCTTCGCTGAGGGCGTTGGCTCACGAAGCGACGTCGAGGGGTAGCCTGCGGCGCAGGGTGCGACCGGGGGAGCGAACATACGGGGGAGAAAGCAAGGGGTTAGTCAAAAGCGAAGGGATGGCCGAGGGGTCGAAGATGAAAAGATGGCCGCCGCAGAGAACGGCGGCAGGCCAGGGGCGCGAGAGCCTTGCCAGCTTGACGTCTTGCGCAGTCGTGAAGGAGTGAGCGTGATGGTGGCCGTAGGGGATGGCGCGGGGACCACCGGGGGAAGCGAGCTCGCTGTCCCCAGATAGGGGCTGAGCGGTGAGCGGCGGTCGAGCGTGAGCACCCAACGGCTATGGCCGTGAACGAATGAGCGATGACCTCGAGCGAGGCCCCAGAAGGAATGCAAAGACAAAGCATAAGAAATGAGCGGTGGTCGCCATGAGGAACAACGGCGACCGAGGGTTTGCGAGGGCGTATAACGCTTGACGACTCGCGAGTTTGGAGGACGAACCAAACTGTAACGGGCAGGCGCCCCGCGCCGGACAAGAACTGCGAGAACGATGAGATTCGAGGGTGCTAGGCGAGATACATGGCAAGCGAGGGGAAGGCGCGCGAGTGTCGACGCCGTACTGGCGTTGGTTCGTCGAAGAGATACGGACGCGAGGCGAAGGCGTATAGTAGCGAGTCCGAATTAGGTAAGTCACGTGTAACGTACCGTTACATGCGAGAGACTCAGACAATCGACACTCATCGCCGACGAACATGCTCTCGCGGCGCTTGAGAATGGCGCTGTAAAATAACGTCGACTACTTACTGATCTCTCCATACGGGCCCGTATCGGCCCATGCGTTCGGTAAAAAATGAGGTGCTTGAATGGTAATGGAAAGCCGCATGCTCATGCACCATTCGCGCCCGACGCTGACAATATGAACGCAAGCGAAGTTCCCGATTCTACTACACAGAAACTAACGCATCGGCGTCGGCGCTGTGCCAGTGAAGAGCAAATCGTGCTGGTATGCGTTGTCGGACACGCTGATGTTGATACAAGTGCAGACCGTGACGTCGAGCCTGAGAGACTCTTGATTTGTTACCTAAGAAGGTCAGTTACGTGGAAATGTGGCGATAGTCAGCGGATTTCACATGCGTACATGCATAGACTAAGGTACCTTCTACGCTGAGCCCGCCCAACACACGCGCGTGATGAAGAGGCTCGCAGTGATGTCCGAAGGGCACCTGGAAATGAGCACGAGCAGGGCAACGACCCCGCACGCCCGGAGGAGAAGGAAGCGTGAGGACGGTGCGCTCAGGAAGGCGCGCCGACGATAAGACGGCGGGAGGAGTAAACCCCGATGAGAATCCGCACGTTCTAGATAGATCTGTAAAGCTTCGGTGGAGATGCACTACAGTTCCAGTAGTGAGGCGTCCCGCACGATTCGCGAGGGCGTCAGGCGGTACCGTTTCCTGGAAATTTTTAAGAGATGTTTCAGCTACAAACACGGAGAATGTTTACATCTGCGACGTTGTCTGCAAACCGTAAGCTTTAGCGGCGGTAGGGAAGGCGACACACGCGGCAAATCTCAAGTTAGGTTGAAGAATAGGCTCCAGAATCACGCACCATTCGTTCAGGATTTTAAGAGGATTCAATCCCACAATCTTAGAGAGCCATCCGGACGTCAGGGAGGGGACCAAGTTTTACCTGGACGACTCTCAAATCTTTTACCTGGACGACTCTCAAATCATATGGGAAATCCTCTCGGAATCCGGGAAATCCTCTCGGAATCCGGGAAATCCTCTCGGAATCCGGGAAATCCTCTCGGAATCCGGGAAATCCTCTCGGAATCCCGGGCGACTCGTTTGGGATTCCGAGAGGATTTCCCATATGATTTGAGAGTCGTCCAGGTCAGTGTCAGCCAGACTACTGGTTTATGACTGAGATTTGGAGCGCGCAAAGGTTGCGTTCACTAGGAACATTGCGATGCCCGGACAGTTCGGGTCTGCATAGTATAGCTGCACGTTGCTCAATTTGGCTGAGTGTTTGGTGATGACTAGTACTAGCATCGTCCGCACACGAAGGTCCTTGGTAGATTCTTGCAGCCCTGGCCAATCTCAAGGTATCAGCGATTTAATCGAATTGATTGCGTGTAACGTACTCGTGGAATATGCATGATTGCGGTGGCCGCGGCACAACTCCTTCGGATACTACGGATCCGCGGACCTTATTGTAGCGGACGCTTTGATTGTAGAGACTAATGGTAAGCCTGCACACTGCTGAAAATGGGCTTCAATGGGACATACTGGCAACGATGGGGGAAGCCAGGTGCCGTGGAAGGGACGGCCACATCTGGTCTTTCGACCGCGGCTCTTTCCGAGTCAACCGCGGCGGGACAGGCACTTCATAATGTTTGCACTCCCTTTTCTTTAGCTAACGCCCCTTGGAGATATCGCCCTCGCAATCATTGCGCATGGACGTAAGGATAGGCTTAGTTGAGCATCGGCGTGCCAGGCGGGATCGCAGTGCCAGAGGCAGGCTCTTTGCCGGGAGCCCTTGCCGAGTTGACATAGGCATGTGGTACTACTGGACAGCGTGCGGAGGCGGTGGCAGATTGAAGAATTGGTTGAGCTGTGCTCTGCAAACATCAAACATAGAAGTGCTTACGTCGCACGGAGGTGGTGCGCTCTGGCGACGAGCGGATTCAATACTTGGTCGCTGACCGCTTGGCGATTTTGTCCTATCGACAGACGACTATTGGGACCACCAACTGCTAGTACATGACTAATGAATTAGTAGAAAGTGCATCGCGGCTGGAAAATGACTACGGACAATCGAGTTCGCGCCCGGGCCGGCCCGTCTCGAGCTGACGTACGGACTAAGATAGCCACGTACTTCATAGGCGGCTGAAATCGTGAGGGACGTCGATCGACTTTCTGGCAACATGAATGAGAATGTGCAACACATACTAGCATGCACCTGGCGTGGGTAACCCTCAAGGCCCAAGGCTCGGGCCTAGCTCGTGCTGGATTACTTGGTGAACTTCAAGCTGAAGATGTCTTCAAGACAAAATGCTCGGCGCTCCCCAAGATTGACTCGTATATAGCGTCGTCAACGCTGATCAGCCAGAACACTGTACCTCTAAGACCAAAGCGGCGGGTCGCAGGTCACAGCGACCTCCGCCGCGCCGCTTTGCCTACCGGACCACCGGCACTGCCGGTCGCGCCGCTTTGGACGGTCGTGTCCGGCTGGTCACATCCCCAACCCCCCGCCGCTTTGGTCCTGGAGATACAGTACAGTGAGTGCAAGCTAGCGAAAGGGAAATGCTAGGGAATTTTGATCCAGATGAGACCTTGAATTATGTGAGCCTTTATTGGCAGGTTGCGCCGCTGCGGGCCTACTATGCCTGTGCATGTTATAAGCGACGCAGCGTAGCGAGCCTCGGAACATCACATTGCTCAGATTTTATGCCTTAGGCATCGAGCGTGACCTCAGCACAGGTGGAGACTATCATCTTTAACCTCCGAATATGGGGGTGGTTCATGTGCCTAGGTGGAGACACGCACGGCGACTGGTGTCTATGCCCATCACATTGTAGATCGGAACGTAACATGACAAATCACAACCCCTGCAAGATACAAACTCGGTACGCCAACTAGTATAGGGATTCTAGCGAGGTGGGATCATCTGGCGCAAGTACGGTCAAGGACGTTCGGCCAGCCCTACAATGTCAAGGGGGTCGTATAGGTGTGTTGCACAAGAGCGGACAAGCCTGTCAGGAAGGTGGCGCACGTATGTACGAGGACGACGTATCGAGCCCTCACCATCCTCTCAGATCCTGTCTCTCACCTTCTCCAGCTCCACCACGTACTCGCTCATAGCCTTCCTACCCCTTTCGCAACGCTGTGATGAAGACAATGTGGTGGTCAGGACGTATCATAAAGCATCGACTAGGCGACATACTTCCATAACGTGCTGACAGACGACCCGCATTTCGTCGTAGCGGTGGAAAGCTGCCTGAACCTTGTCCACGGGCAAAATGGCGCGCGTGATGCTGTAGAGCGTTGAGGTCTGTTTCATCGCGTTATCGACGAGCCTCTGCACACGGGGAAGGGGGAGGGTCAGAATGCGATAGACCGACAAGATGAAACGGTAAAATGGACGGCTCACCTTGATAGAACCGATGGTCTCGGATTGAGCAAAGCTTTGGCTGAAGAGGAGATGATGATATTCTTCGTACTTGCGTAGTTCGACGAAAACCGCTTTGCCGGGGATCTGACCATCTGCGTGCGACGACCACCCCCCGATGATCTCTGCGCACAGGCGGTCACAATCCTCACGAACCTGATGGCGTGCTGCTGAAAAAAGCTCGAGACGTTCGAATAGTGGGGCAAGCTTGCGTGCGAAAGCAGTAGGGTCCCTAGAGGGCCTAGCGTGGTGGAGCCTCATGCATGCAGCAAAACCTGTCTTCCGCGAGTGTCAGGGAAGCTATGCGAACATACCAAGAACTGTGCTTACCTCTGTCATGAAGGTTCGGAAGTAGTCGTCCCACTCACCCATATCGTGAGCTAAGCCAGAGACGTCCCCACGCAATCGATCATGCACTCGCTGGAGTGAAGGACATGCTGCTTGAAGCTTGTTGCGATCAGCGGCGTCCATCTGCAGCATATAGTCGTCGGCGAGAGACGTGAGCTACATGATGTACGACATCAGACGAAGCCCCAGGGATACCAGACGACGGACACATACCGTATGCCATACGTTCTCCAGCTCCTCGAAGTGCTGGCGGGCAGTGACTATGGCAGCAGAAAGCCCCTCGAACAGATCGCCAGTCTCGCCTTCCACCAGCGGATAGATGGTACGAAGGGCGTCCCGGTGTATGACAAGCTCGGATAGAATACGGTGCTCAAAGATGCGCTCGCGGCATGCTTGACGGACGGAGAGAACCGCAAGCCATGTCCCGGAGTCCGACGGGAGCCCCAGGGTATCTCGAAGGCTGCGTAAAGACATCGACGTGGTGAGTCCATAGGTAGAAAGCAAAAGAATACGTGCACGTACTCGAGGATTTCTTTGTCCAGACTATCACTGAGCGAATGGACGAGCGCTGACGTCTGGGTGACAGTCAAGACTGCCAACGCCATGCCGACCGGGGTGGTGGGAGACTTGAGGAACACAGCCATTATAGGATTCAACGCGATAAATCGTCGGGCGGGTGGGTGACGAAGAGGAAGGGGGAATATGCGCAGAGGGGAGACAGGAGGATGGTGATTGGCCAAACGTGACTAAACAGCGCGAACAAAGAACTGTCATCTGCAGCGTGCCAATCTAGATCCTACGTGTATCCGTTGCCACTCAGCGCTTTCTGGACGATCTCTTGTGGAATTCGTGCATACGGGTAGGCAGTCCACGGGATCACAGGCGACGGGATCACGGGAGACGGGATCTGCCGAATCACAGCGTCTCTCTGACGTACGCAATACTTCATCGATTTGTCTTCGTGCACTTTGCGAATAGAATGAGCACATAGACCGTCGGAGAGCGGTGACTGGATCGACGTACCACCGAGCGCTGTGCAAAGTGAATCACAGAACACAGAGTTTCTAGTCTTCTCGACAGAGGCGACGACGAACAGAGGCTATACGCGGAGTTCAAGGCTCGAGGGACGGCGACATCGGCAAGGTTGATGGTAACACTGACTTGAGTCCTCTGCAATATCCCTCAGTGAAGCAGACTGCGCTGTTGCACCAGTCGTACTGGGTGCAGGATCCGACGGCTCCGCGGAGGCATCCCCAGAATCGCCAGTACCCCTCTGCCTTGTGCTCAGGCGGGGCCCGGAGGGTGATTGCGGTGTCTGGCTCCATCGTGACAGACGTGAGCTTCTTGTACGGGGAAGAGCTGATCACATATACTGATATGGACATAGCAGCAGCGGCATCTGTATCCGCCGGCGAGGACGTCTGCGATCGTACGCGCGAAGCCAGGATACTTACCTCGTGGAACACGCGTTCGTGGAGGAAGGAGGCCTTGTACTCGGTGGGCACCTTCTCGAGGAGCGATTCGACGAGCTGGAGTGCACCAATGACAATCCATGGAAGACAAGATAGAGAATGCAAAGCCAGCGATAGGCACAAACTACATGCCGCTGTTAGCGAGCGCGAACAGCACAGAACACATCGATACGTACCGCGAGGACTTACTTCAGCTTGTCATTGCTCAGGAAGCTGCCAGCTTTGAGCAGCTCGGTGGAGGTCCGGATGTAGACCAACGTGATCGGGCTGGCGGCGTATAGAATGACAATGGTAGGGATCGCGAGCCGCAGGAACGACCTTCGAGCGAAGTAGGTCAACGGTCGACGACAACTAATTCCTTGTAGTGTTGCATCGCATCTTGTCCCTCATGTATAGACCGCAGGTCGATGTACATCGGTTCGGGCGCCCTGCCATGTTCGGCTGGCACTGAGACCGAAGGGGCGGCGGACGAACTACGGGTCGCAGAACAAGAAGGTCGCGCGTGAATGATAGGAGGTAGAGCTGCCGCGGCTTGACGAGGTACTGAGGCACGATCTGCCTTCGTCTTGAGTGTCTTGTCGAGTACATTCTCGATGTATCCCTTGTGGTCGAAGACACTATTTGATGAAAGGTTCGTATGTGAGCACGCAGAAGAGAGGCAGAAGCACGGACCAGTCAAGATCCGATTGAGCATGTCAACGACACCGACTTCGAGGAATATGTGCGTGATCTTGGGAATTGATTCAAGGATGCCTGTCGCTAGAGCGCGGAGTAGATTGTACGTGCTCGGAGCAATCCAGGAGAACTACCTGCGGGGAGCAAGAGCATGTTGACAGCGCGAACCAAGTCAGCGTACATGAGCCCTTGAGGTTCTCTGGTGAGGATCGGTAGTAGGAAACGATGATGCGGATAACGCACAGACAAGCGGATTTAACTAGTCGCTGGTCGGAGTAGCCAAAACAGTTGCGGATCATGGAGGCAGCGCTAATCACGTGCTCGATTGAGACGTTGCGACAACAGCTTGCGGCCGCTTGTAGCGCAGCAACGCCACCTCGTCCGATGGAGCTAGGGAGTTGCTCCGATACCTCTTGCATATTCTACGTTACGAATGAGTACGCCGATGATTTAGAAGACAACAAAGTGTAGAAAACATACACTCAGGGCCTGAGTCGAAGCGCAAAAATCTCGGCGAAGAACGGAAATGGCGCCGCGATATACTACGGTGCGCGCCGCCCGCGTTAGGGCCTCCATCAAGTTCACCAGATACCTTCAAGCCAGAATCTGAGCCTCCAAATTGTTGTCTCCTTGCTAAGCGCTCCCATCGGTGTTCATTCCCAACGCCGCGGCGACAGCTGCATCCTCGTCCAGCTCGGGCGCGTCGTCGTCGTCATCATCTGACCAATTCTCAGATGAATGTTTCGACCTAAGCGTCCTCGGTGCTGAACAATTCGCTTAACTTCTGCGACGTCACTAGCCGCGTGGAATAGCATCGAGCGCCGCCCCCAGCCGTCCAGAATTGCCCATCATATAGGACCCGAGCTGACGATAGTAACCGCAGATGGAGATCGCTGAGGCTTCGTTGACCACGCTGCCCAAGGATCTGGCGAAGTCTCTTTAGGCTTCGTCATCTTCATCGTCCTCGTCTCCGCCACCACTATCGTCGGGCTTCTTCCCCGCCATCACGGGAAAATTCTGGCTGCGGCCATTAAGGTCTTGCCCTTAGCGGTGACCTTACTCTTGCCGAATGTTACACTGTAACGGTATTCACGCGTGAATATAAGCGGCAGGCCGATGTATACGCGAATGACATACTGTGGCTTCCGGTCATGCTTGCTTCTGTCTGTTTATCGACCCGGTGGGATATGTGGGTTCCTTCATCGCAGAGATTGCCGCAACTGTTTCGTCGTCTTCTAAGTGGTCTTCGGGGGCAACGGGCTTCTTGCCCTTAGTAACCTTGGTGGGCTCGTTGATGGAGAGGACGAAGGTTGTTGGGTGCGCGCGCTATCGTGAAACCCCTGGTTTAAGTGGTGATGTAAGTTGCAGGGACGCGCGGACATACGATTTGCTTACTCGGAACTCGTCAGCTGCTTCTTTCTCAAAGTAGAGCTGCTGTCGCGGGCTCGCTTGCTACAAGGCGCCGAGCGCTGCTGGCTGTCTGCGGCGGAACGTTCCTTCTGCTTCACTTTCGACTCGTGCGCTCGTACAGAGAACCTAAGACTCGAAGGCGGTCGAAAGCGATGGCTCGTTGGTGTGCGGGGAGTTCGGGCTGCTACGAATACTCGCTGCTAAGGAATGAAAATCCACTGGAAGCGTGCAACCGGCCATCGATCCCGTGTAGGCTATCGAATGGAGGTAGAACGAGACTGTGGTCAAACGTTCAGGTTCTGTGCCACGTCCCTTGTCCATGGGTACAAGTCTTGGGGTCGCCCCCTGAGTTACTCAGCGGCCCTAAGGGGTTGAACCGTCTGATGGATGCGGATCCGAAGCACCAAAAACCCGGTGGACCTTGCGGGCGCGAGATCGTAGCTTGGCCAGGAGACGGCCCATCCGCGCAAAATCGGCGAAGGACCGTCTGGCCCCGTCGTCGCGCATGCAGATATACGTCGTACGACGACCCTCTCAGCCATCTCCACGACGTCTACACCCGAGGCAGCAGATGCTGCGCTAGGGGAGCTGGGTCGCACGGAGAGGCATTCCGATGGGTCGAGTCGCAGGCGCAGTCGCCGCTAGCCGCGCACGACGCCTCCGGGGCCGCGTTCTGCACTACGCGCTGTTGAGTGCTGGGCTCGGCGATACCTGCCGTACGCATCACCTCGTCAGCGGATTCGAGACAGATTACGAGCAAGCGCACTCACCACCTGGATACCGTGCACACCCGAGGACGACGCCTTGTAGTGACAGTCGCGTAGATTGCGGGAATCGGTGCGTGGCCCGCCCTGGCCACAGATATCCCACCAGCGCCGCCGAGGATGCGATGATGCGCAGGCAGTCGTCGTGTGTGGGAAGTACGCTGCATTGTTCTCCCCCGAGCAGCCCCAGTCGCCGAGTTAGGCGGGGATACGCCGCAGAAGCGGAAGCAGACTTGGTGGGCGGAAGCAGAGAGTGGGGGACGCGTGAATCAGCCGCGCGCCGAGCTCCGAGTCGGCCACGTTCCCCGGCGCCAGATTCGCGCTTGTC